GGCTTGCGAGGCTCGTTGCCTTCTTTTCCATTAAAAAAAAAAAAAAAACTTCCATCAGGATACACTGCGCAATAGTATGGAATTCGTGTCCACGGTCACGCGGCTAGATTTGTGCTAGTTCTAGTTCTGCAAATGAATTTTGGCATTCGCCGAACGCATCGATTATCTGTTCTCGACTTCCCGTTATGCATAGTTCACGGCCAAACGTTATTGCCAACTTCTGAAACGTCGTTGGAAATTATTATCGTCGTACGAAGGCCGTCGCGCCCCTTTGGTCTGTCTATTATCGTGTTTATTGTGTAAACAATAGACGTTCAAATGCAAAATCTAGCTGATGCGCACAGAGATATTTTGAACACGTGACTAAATGAAAAGGTTATATCGTAAAGTATTATTATTGCTGCAAATTAATATAAACACCGTGGTAGAGTCACGCAACATTCTTGACTGTTACAAGAAATGGTAGGTCCGTCCGGGAAAGTACCACGACCTCACAGAAAACCGGCGTGAAGTGTAAGTGTTACGATTCTACGTTTCGTCTGATGAGTGAGGTAGCCGGCGCCCACTTTATTAAAAGATGGCTCCGTGTCTGCTGCCCCACGGTTGTTGCAAAGTCCATGGGCGGCGGTTCCCACTTAACATCAGGTGAACCTCGCCTACCACCTTCTCACATGAAAAAAAAAAAAAACAACAATTTTTCGCCAATCAATTCACTATATAAACATGACATTACTGCTTGTATATAAGTTTTTATCTCCTTTTAGATAGCAACGTAAGATTAGTATTCGACATACGTTTTTGGAGTTATATTTCGCTGAAAGTTTTTTTTTTTTTTTTTCCATTTATCTCCGGATTTAATCGGGAGCATTTATCCGTATGCACTCTGAGATGCGCTGACAGATGACATATGTTTTCTGTTCCGAATCCCGATAGCTCCGAGATATCGCTAATTTATATTGCACACTCTTACACAAACTTGGACAAACCGCGGGGAACATGTTTCAATCATTGTTCTGAACGAATTATATTACATATTTTTTTGATTTCTCGGTTTACTTTGATTTCAGAGACGAAATAACTTTGTTTTATGCGTCCAAACTGAAGTTTTGTTATAGACCCTTCACTTACGAGTCCGTAGGCATTTAGACTTTGGCGTGACTACGCTATTACACTTCGTAAAGGGGAAATTCGGTGATATCTCCAGTTGGTTTCACACATTAACCCCCACATGACGCATCGGAAGCATATAAACACTTCGACTATTTCTACAATCGGATATTTTTAGTGCTCATAATGTCACACTTTACATACTATTCACTAAATATTTTTGGGCTCATCCTCTAAGAATTTACAACTGTCATTTCATGCGCCACGAATTGAAGAATTTCTCAAGAAATCCATTGATAATTATCAACTAAGTTTTTAATTCAAACGTATTATAACATTTAATATAAAAAAGGTAAAGAGATTGCGCTGCGCCGAAAAAAATTATTTTCAATAATTTATACGAAAAATGTATTAAATGCTCATCGAGCCGAAACATATCTTTTTTTTTATATATATATAATTCTTCTGTACTTGTGTATGTCACTGAACTTCTCATAAACGACTGGACTGATTTTAATGAAATTTTGTGTTTGTCTTCAGGTCGACTCGAGAATGGTTTAGATTCATAATTCGGTCCACGACAATATTTTTCATTTCTTTATTTATAAGTTGTTTTGGGATTTCAGTCGTGTTTACAGGACAACGTATGTCGGGTCCGGTAGTAATTTATAAAAGTTTTTACTAGAATATAGATGGTGAAAAAACAAGTATCTATGGTTTTGTCAAATAATTTTTTTTCCTTGTTGGACGACATAAAGGCTTCTCGATCGCAGTTCTGTGATTTGGACTAAATCGATTCGCCTTTGCACATATTTAGGGTTTGTTTTAAACATGGTATATTAAATAACTCTAACGCACAGACCTTTAACTATTTCTTAATTATTTATTAATATTGAATAATATGAGCATTGGCCTAAAAATATTTCCACCGCTGAAATATTCACATTAATGTGCTAACTTTGTTGTTATTATGGCCGGATATATGTAACATTTATTTAGTTGTGTATTTTAATTCAACCCTTGAGCACAAGTAGACTGGATGTGTCGAACCGCTTGTTGTGAGACACAAAGTAACAACAAGATTCCCCACGGTCGCTCGAACGCGGTGAATTGTTTGTTTTTAAAATACGTGACATGTTTGTTGGTATTGTATTGTTGCTGTCTTCTAGCTTTTATCATGCGTGATCGGATGAGAGTACGATTGCGGACTTATCTCGCGTCTTCCCACGAGCGAAGACGGATAGCGCATTGTTCTTGCTGACGCTGGCCACGCGTTCGGTGTTACTGAACAACTGTGGTATCCTCTCAATCTCACGCGTGTCGGTGTGGGCGGGGACTGTTTTTTTAGGGTGAAAACGTGGCAAACGAGCTGGCGGTTCACCTCATGCGAGCGATAAACGCCCATGAACATTTGCAACACCCGTAGGTTGCAGATACGTTGATACCTTTTAATAATGTGGGCTCCGCCAAAATTTATCTGAGACTGAATGTCGCAACGAATGAAACGGTAACTAAATAATAAAATAATAAATATTTCAGGACACACGAAATGCAGTAAAAATGATACTGTTGCTTGTCCCATGAATCGGTAAATTGTTGTCACTGTAATGTGCGATGACATATCTAGAAAGCAACAATAGGTTGCAATTGAATTTATCGTATCTAAACATGCCGCGACACAATGTACGGCTCTCTTTCTGTCGCACACAGAGTACCGCTATCTAGTTATATCATCTCATAGACTTACGTGTCGTTTGTTATGGAACTTAGTGTGTGAAGCGGACTGGCATCCTCCTGACCGATTTCCTCGGGGCGCCTCTCTTCGAACTCAGTGACTTATTCAATATCTCTCGTAAGGAATGGAACAATCGTCCGCATTCGCGTCTTTTTTTTTTTTTTCAAGAGAAAGTTTTCAAACGAGCAGCCGGTTCATCTGGTGTTAAGTCATTATCGGTGCCCATGGGAATCTACAACACCTTATGGCTTGCATCTAAAACATTAAAAAACGTAGGCCCCGGTTATCTCACTCAGTATATAGAACGTATAATACTTCATCTTCGCGCTAGTCATGATGCTATCTATGGTTCTTCCCTAGACGAGTCAGAAACTGGTGCGTGGTCTCACCACTGTAAAGTCAGTCTGGTTAAAATATGAGTTTCTTCTAAGCTGGTGTGGCTAGTTCTGTCAAGTTAGAATAAGTTCTTACGTAAGGCACCATATCACTATTTTATCATTAATTAGTATGGTATAATGTAAAGATAAAGTAACCGCCAACATATGTGCCACTGCTGGGCAAAAACGCCCCACTGCGAATTGGCGGACTTCACATATTTTCGAAATTTTTTCGTGACCTGCATATAATTTCAAAATATGCAGGCAAAAGCCTCCTCTATACCGAGGGCATCAGGGCATAGTCCACCACGCGGCCCCACTGCGGATTGGCGGACTTCACATATCTTCGAAATATTTTTTTTATTATTTCGGAAATATGCAGGTTTCCTCAAGATGTTTTCCTTCATCGCTGAACACGTGATAAGACAGCACTTAAAATTAACAATTTATTGGTGCCGTCACCAAGGATCGAACACAGGTTCCTCGAGTATACTGAATAAAAACTGGGGCGCTCACATTTTATTCAGTAATTTTATGGGCAATGAGCTTTCGAAAAATTAGATATAGTAGTAAAACACAGACCAGCCCCTGATAGAAATACGATTTTAAGAAATATATTTATTTTATATATGATTTTAAGTTATATTTTATGCTCGTTTTCAAAAATTCAACGAAGAAATATTAAATAAAAACTTGTATTATTGCATTTATTATGATACTAACTGCTGCCCGCGACTACGTCTGCGTAGAATAGGCTGAATTCGTAACATTCAGACAGAAAGATAGATGTACATAAAAATATGTAATAAATTATAGCCTATGTCTTATTCTGATGTATAAGCTACATTATTGTAAAGTTTCATTAAAATCCATTACAGTAACAAACATCCATCCATACATACAAACTTTCGCTTTATAATATTAGTAAGGATGTATGTGGTATTCTTATTTTTTTGGTAATCATGAATGTTTAGGGAATTTTTAAGACTAATTTCAAACTTGTTTCGCCTTTTTTGTTATAGCTTTGTTCTATTTGCGTAATATTGTTTGTTTTATTCTTAGTCGTATGGCAGATAAACACCACTAGTTTTTTAATTAAAAAAAACTTGTCTGCCTCATGTTATGTAAACATTGTACAGAATAAAAAACTCGTTTAAGTGTGAATATTTTGAAATTATTCTTTATTTTATTAAATTAAGATTTTTTTTGTTTGGATGCAAGTATCAGTAAACATCCACTGTCGGAAGTTTCTACAAAACGAAATGAACTCTCACCAACTGCGCAATCTTTTGCACTTCAATTCGTTCGAGACAATAACTCCTTTGGAACAGCTAACACTGCGGTTCACAAAAACTTTCCCCCGCACAATGACAATGTTCTCGATGCGTAAAAGCTCATAATTTGACGTTTTAATGGTGTCTTCACGCCAAGGCTGTTTAAGGCGTTAGCGTTCAACGCCGTATTGTTTCTTTGAGATAATGTACTCGACGCTCCCACTGTACAGGCATAATTCTCGGTTGTGTGGGGTCATAATTAATCGAGAGCTGACAGCGTAAACACGATTAATATGGTGCCACCTACTTACACGCTTGTTCACGGGAAGCGGTTTCGTTCTTACTGTTGCTAAACGAATTAATCAAGCTAGAGACTAAACAAAGTTATTTTTAGTCTCTTTGCGAAAAGAATGGCAGTCGCTTAACCCATGGACATTCACAAAGAGAGACATTCATTTCATTTCATTTCCCTCCAGTCTGTTGTTGAAAGACTAAAGCATCTATTCATATACTTAGCGCCGTTCTCCTGTTAGTTTCCGGTCCGTCCCCACTTGCAGGAGCTGTTACGTTATCCGTTCGTAAGCCGTTCAGATGCCAAAATTGGCGGCAGGCCGCAGGCGAGCTCGCGGCGTTCATCCGGGAAAAGCGAAAGGGATCCAGAGGGACTAGAGCCGCGCGGTCGGTCGCCGTCGGTTGCCGCCAGTTGCCAATCGGTTGCCGCCCGTCGCCATTCGGTTGCCGACGCCGATTAGCGGACGCGGTGGCCCAACGGTGGCTGTAATGCTGCAGTCGGCCCACATGCTTCCGGGCCGGGACCGAGGCCGTTATTAAATACGCGTCGCTATGCCTAACTCTTTCCGGCCGCATGGGACGTTGCGACATAGGGCTGCGCTCGTTCGTATACACCGCGATACCTCCCTTTGTCGGCGTTGCGAATGCTCTCGTCATCTAAACCGCATTGGAAGCGGCGCAACGACACGAACCAGACCGTTGATGAGGCCACGGTCCGCCGGTCGTGTTTGGCTGAATGGCACGAGGGGACTTGTGGGAATGGAAACGGTGCGTTATTTGTGGTCTGACGAACGTTTTGTTATTCGCTCATTATCCACGATCATAGATCATTGATGTGAATAGTATACGAAATTCATGTGCATTCGGTAAAGGGAAATTATATGAACTAAATAATAGAATGTATGTACATATTTGTCACGACCTGTGCGGGAAGTCGATGGATGCAGGTGGCTCAGGATCGTATTTCGTGGCAGTCTTTAGGGGATGTGTGATTAGCCCATGTTCAGCAGTGGACTCAAACAGGCTGAATTGATGATGTGATGATGATGATGACGACATATTTGCTATAAAATTTAGAATTCAATTTTATGAAGCTTAACTTAAAAAAGAACTATTTACTTTTAGTTATTAACTAAAATATAAAATATAAATATTTTCTTGATGCAATTAATGTATTTTCCATAAGGTATTACAAAGTAGTATAAGTAGTCATAGTACATTTGCCATGGGCCAACCTTACCGATATTTATCACCGATTTTTAAATAAACATTAACTTGGAATGAGAATGAACATTCCGGTAGGTGAACTGAGCGAACAAACTTTTGCCGTGTAGTACACAATGCCTCAAGGAGAAAGAAAAAAAAAGCAACCTCGGCAACGACCATGCATGAATGGTTTTACGTGGAGGTTTTTTAATCGAATTAAATAATTATTCAATGGAGCGGATAAGCTTTTGGCGCTATAAACAAATAAAATAACAGAATTTTTAATCGGATATAACCCCGATTACATTGAACATTATTGCATTAACTTATAATCAGTGGAGGCGAAACAGTTTGTTGAACAGTACAGGGATGTACCCTATGTCTGTTTTAAACGATTATTTATTAATCGAACGAATTATTTGCTTTAAACAGTAGAAAAAATAAACTTTGTGAACAGGTTTTTTAAAAAATATTTCAAGGTTAAGTTAGGAAGGTTATTAACACAACACAATTTTTATTAGTCGTCATAATATTCGGGATTTACATTCACTAACAATACAATTGATAAACAATATAATAGTAGCACATGGGCAAAAATTATGAAAAGCCAATGTAATTTTTTTTTATAACTCTTCTGAAATAAAGTTTGTCAAAATTAAGTCATAAGATTCAGGCGATAAAGTCGATTTTATTGTCAATTGAACTTGATTAAACCTAACTTTTGTTTTGTTTTATAAATATTATTAATTTTACTAAGATATTTCTTATACTTATTACATTTATTGTATTATTCAGAAATATATTTAAATAAACATCAGGTGAACCGCCCGCTTGATTGACACTTTTGCACATAAAAAAAATTCTGTATATAAAATAACGATTTTGTACGAAAGAAAAAAATATTGTATACCCGTGTCCATCTGCACCATCCTTTGACGTACACTTTATACCTGTCAGTCCCAGAGATTTAACTGATTGTCTCGAACTAATTGGCGAGTAGACATTTCAGCCAGTTTACGACTGGCCCGCAGTGGCGGAATGGCGGCTTTAGTCACGCTGTTTTATGATTAGGCTAAGAGAATAGTTGGCCAGAAAATCTGCATTAGCAACAGACACTGTCGAGCGGTAGCCGGCACACCGTATACATTTCGCAATGAAAGAAGGCTGTTGTTGGGATGCAGATGCTTGTTCCGGACTCTGGCTGTATGCAAAACGGCCGCCTTTCTCTCGTGCATGCCGTAAAAATAATAGATATGAGCACATTGTGTTTGTTTCCCCCGCATCGGATACGGGCCTTGGAACTTCGCGATTTGTTGTTTTATCTTTTGCCATAAAACGGCCGTATTTACTCTTGCAATGTATACTTTACACTTTATCTGTTTCAAAACTAAAAGATACCGTTCGGGAAACTAATAGCTTTACTATCGCAATGTTCGAATAAGGCATCGCAAATCGTGTGAAATTTTCGGATACTGTTCCAAATATTATATGTTTTGATTTATTATTTTCAATGCCTACACGTTTATGATAAGTTTTAACGCACAGAATATCCAAAGTTGGTTAGAATCCCACACTGCCGAAAAAGTTTTTGCTCATTTATATACAAAAACTTTAAGTTTTGTTTTAAGTTTTACCGTGCCTTCTGCCCGGTAAAACTAACTCAAATATAAAATTTATTATAAAAATAAATCGTTACCGATCATTATCATAGAATGTTTTGACCGGCCATGAACATACAAAAAATGTCTCAAAATTTATTAACGTCGACCGACGGTATATTGTCATATATTATTAGTAGATGTGTATAAACATACGTCGGTGGCACAATTTGCATGTTTACAGATATGCTTAACGCATTGAGAACGATCATCTAACGTCTGAATCTGAACGACCATCTGTAAATTGCTATCTATAAAGTCATCGTGCGTTATAGCATTATTTCTGAGAGTTTTATGTTTTAAGATATGTGTACCTTTGGAACATTGCAGTATCGAATTTATTGTATAGTTACGTTTTCCGTTTACTCCTTTATTTATACTTATGGATGGAAAAAGTTATAGGCACGCGTTCTTATTATTGAGCAATATCATTTTAAATTGTCTCCAATGGTATATCACAGAGTAATGACTTTTTAGCCCTTCCTTCCTACGGCCTTGGATGCTGCAAAGCATTTCAAAACGTTTGAAGTTTAAAAATCAAAATTTAACACAATATATTTAGAAAAGTTTTTTCGGCGGTAGGGCCACGCAGCAGCCCCGGCTGTTGACGAATGGGCAGTAAAGTGGAAGTATAATACTTTCGCGTTTCGTCTGGTAAGTGAGGTGGCCGGAGCCCAATTTTCTAAAGGTTATCAACGAATCTGGAACTCTCGAGTGAAGCAGATGCGGTATTCACTTAACATCAGGTGAACTGTCTGCTCGCTTGGCAACTTTCACATAAAAAAAAGTAATTATTTCTTCATTTTGTTAAATAAAATGAATGTCCCAAATACTATCAAAATTCATGTCAATGTCCTGCTTTTTCTATTCGTTTTTGACATGTTAAAATCTTTAATTATAACTAATCCACAGGGAACGTTTAAATTGGCGAATTTGTAATGTTTTTAAAATTATTTGACATTCAAGTAGGTGTCAAAATAAAAGAATATATTTTATCTTTACGTTCGCTGCTATAGATATATTACAATTTATTTGATCTTGTTAATCACTATATATTGACATTGTCGTCAACTTGCGTGTGTAGGAAGTTGTTCGGTTAGCCGGGGTCGACGGATAAATCCGATCTTGACCGGATTTCATTAGAGACCGGATTTATCTTTTCAACATTCCAGCCGGCTTGTTAGAATAATGAATACATTAAACTATGAGGACTGGCTGTTACTTTATTACTGCATCGAGTTCTCAAATTCAATCTCGTCTGTATCATTCACATCCACTAAAACTAATGGGAATCATTTGAAAAAAAAAAATTAACGCCGTAATTTTATATCTACGTATATCTTTCAACGATAACTAGTTAGATTGCCTTAGCCGTTTACATCCAGTTAGACGAAATTAGGGCAGGTGTCTTAGACCGATCGGCGAGATCGTGCGGGGTCTATCTCACGTGCACATGATGTGTCTGTCAGTCACCCGTGTTCTCCTATCAACTGACGTGCAGAACGACTTACCCGGCGGGGCAAGAGCGGCACCGTTCGCCGTAACAACAGACCGCTTTCAATCGTCTCAATCTGCGGCCGTCGCGTGCCCTGCGCTATCCACATACAGCCGACAGCCAGCCCGCAGCCCAAAGCGCGTATCGTCGCCTCTAATTCGACGCCGACGTAGCTCGCCCCAGTTTTCGCGAGCCCCGTCACCGCGAGGCGCAATTCCAGCAGATCAAGCCCTGTCCGCCTGATTGAATGCTAATGACCATTGTTACGCTCCCCTGAGCGGCTGACCGACATCCGCGTGACGTTTTCCTCATACACGAACCTTCCATTATCGACGCACAGTAAACGGACGCCCGCCACCACGGCGCGGTGCAGCGATACGCCTCCGGTACGTTATATCATTGATACCGCTCGCGATCCGCCAATGATCGCTGACCCGAGCTGGTGTAATGATACGCGCGTACGGCCGCCGCGGCGTATTTTGTCCGGGCCGCAACGTAATAGGGCGCGGGACGGGGTAATAACTAAACGCCACGGTGGCGTGCCTCAGGGCGCGGTTCTTGCAGTGCAAATGATTGACCGTCCGCTGGTATTGTTGCAGACGACTTATAAATTGTATTAAATTGCCAGTGTGAGATGCGATTTTATTAATGTTTCATCCCATTTGCGGTGTGCCGATGCGGTTTTTGTTTTTACGCCGTGTAAATCAATTGTAGTGGATCGCTTTTCTTTTGTCGTTTAGATAACGTGCGGTTTCTGTTGCGGGTTTGTTAGGAATCTGTTGTTTAGGGATGAGTTGTTCTCACATATCTTTCTTTTTTTTCTTTCTTTATTTTCACACTTTTGGTACTCAATGTTTTTTAATTGTTTTGAACATAATTTTATTCGTGTTAAACGGCGTACCCACTATTGTGGTCGTTCAAAGAGACATTTTTTACTGTGGTAAGCTTTTGCTGTTGCACGAATAGGCTGGCTTTATAGGATGTACCACGGCTTCACTCACAAAATAATGGTATGATGTGGGACTATTATACTTCGGAAATTCTTCGCGTTTAATACGTTACAAGGTGTCCACCTATATTTTCAGTTCAATTTTCTGGCCACCTTCTTCAAATAAATATAACTTAATTTTTTTTATAGAGAAGGAAAGCAAACGAGCACACGGGTCACAAGATGATAAGCGATTACGGACGCCCATGAAAACTTGCAACATATATATAATATATGTTCACCTTAGATACAGAATTAATATGTGTAATTTTATCTACAGATTTTTTAAGAGATAATGTTGGTAATTTAGTACTTATAATGAATACAACACAGTGATTATGTAAGTCCTGGTCGGGAGTACAATTTAAAATTAATGTTTATTTACGGTGGTAGAGCCTCGCAGCAGCCTCGGCTGTTGCACGAATGGGCAGGCTCATCCGGGTAAGTACCACGACCTCACAGAAGATCGGCGTAAAGTGGAAGTATGACAAATACTTTCGCGTTTCGTCTGGTGAGTGAGGTAGCCGGAGCCCAATTTCCAAAAAGGTTGTCAACGCATTTGCAAACCCTCTGGTGTAGCAGATGTCTATGGGTGGCGGTATTCACTTAACATCAGGTGAACCGTCTGCTCGTTTGGCAACTTTTCACATTAAAAAAAAAATATTCACAGTTATTTTTAAATAGTTTGAGAATAAATTCAATTGTGCAAAAGTCGTGGATTTAGACAATTTAGTTTCCACCCTAAGTTACTGCAAATGAAAAGTCGAAACGTACATTGTAAACTTGGCGAGCCGTCTCGAGTCGATTGAATTTATTTCTTCGATCGCTTTGTTATAACGATATTGCGTTCTTCTTAAAGTTAAATTACTCTATGGAGTCCGTTAGATTTTATAGCAGGTTAGACAATGAATTCTTTGAGACGGAGAATACCTTTTTCGATTTCCTGTTTGATGTTTTTAAAGATATGTAGTAAAGTAAACTGATAGAAAGGTATAGTTAGTAACCTGGTAGCGCCAATGTAATGTATGTCTTTAAGGAACTATCGTTAAAGACACCTGCAGACAATTCTTAGAACTCCTGTTCCGGTCGTGAACAAAAGCTTGAGGTCGGCACTATCTCCGTCGCTTTTGGGTTTTCGTATCAATAGCGTCGCTATTGGGTCATGAGAATGAGATGAAAAGGACACCTGCATATTTTTCGAAATAACATAACAAAATTCCAAGATATGTGTAACCTTAAAATATGTAGAAAAAGTACGAAAAGATTGTCGCCGCTGTGGGAATGGAGCCCGTCTTCGGTGTTCGCGGACTGACGCTTTAACCACTAAGCTAAGCGGCTGATTGCCACACCGAAGAAAATCTTAACGTCTTTTATCTACATTGTTTTTTAGCATTTGAAGCAATGCTTGGCGCATCCATTGTTATATCCTTTCCAGCATACAAACAATTTCGAATATCGTTTACAACGATAATTCGAACGAGAGATGTTGCCATTACTTTTTAGAAATTTAAATTGTTTATAGTGCTAATTTCTGCACTTAATATTGCACGTTAAACTATGTGTAACCTGCCAATCCGCTCGAGTGTTGGTCCATGCCCAAAAGGAGGCCTTGGCCCACCAATGGGACCTGTGTATAAGATATTGCTTTGGTCTATCAAAGTCCGGGGTGGATGAGTCATCGGATCGGTGTCGCGTCACGTACTTATAATCCTAAGGCGATGAGGCTGTTCTGCGGGCGAAGTCGTACGGGGTCAGAGCTCGCGTTGCTGGATTTATGCGGTGCGGTCACCGGAGCCCTTCCGCGGTGTCCGGTGGCCTATACCGCACGGCATACACCCCCTCGCCCCCTACTCGCCCACTTATTAAGAGCGGGAACTTCGTGCCCTGGTAGGCCACATTCTCTCGCCAAATTGAGGACATTGTGTTAGTCCGCTGAACTGAACTGAATTTAAAGCTAACAGCAAGGAAACTATTAAAAATATCAATTAAAGTAAAAAAAATGGATTTATTTCACAAGGTGAAGTTTTTGCGTAAATACAAATCATCGAGGACTGACAGTTTCTGAAACAAACTTGTATTCAAGTTCTTGCGTAAATGCAAGTAGTCATTGAGGACTGATAGTTTATGAAACAAACTTAAATATTCAAGTGCATATCTAACGGCTTACGTGTAACAGCATCTTCGAAACAGAAAATCGCAAAGCACACGCGCGGCACGCTATGATTGCACGTCACGTCGCTCGAGCGCCTCATCGTCCCATCGAGGAAATGCGGTGAAATTGGAGCAGAGTTAAGCGGCTCGCTAATGGTGTCACCGTCGCGATTTCCTCCTGTAGTGGGACAAGAGACTTGGGACGGAACCCACCTTCCGGCCTCACCGTAGAGCGCAACGGTGTTTCGTCCGAGTCTATTCCCACATCTAATGTCGGCAATTGTGACTCCTCCGATATTGCAATTGACGGCGGTGATCACATACTATCAATTGACCCGCTTGCTAGTTTGTCTCCTATTCCATAAAAAAGCACGGGTGCGACTTTTGCGCAAAGTGGACAATGTGGCCCCGACGGCCCCGTGTCGTTTACCGCGTCTGGTTACCATTGTTGAGAAATAGCTACTCCTCTAGGCAATGCGCATTTGTAGTTAGAAGCTTAACGGCTCCCCTGAGTGACTTTGATTGCCACTTTACCAACACAATTTTTTTTTTCTCAAAAACTACTTTAACGGAAAACCTTTTTTATTTATTTTTTCTTTATGGAACCTCTGCCACCAGATCGGGGGAGGGGCAATCCAGTGAAAAACGGGTGCCCACTAAAAAACCCAAGTTGCAACGGTCTCTGTCGCATCGGCCGGGGAAACGAAGACATAATCTTCCGCGACTCACGGAAAACTAATAACCGGAACTCACTTCCTTTATACGGTGACAACGCATGTGCAACCCTATGGGTGCAATATATGTTTGCAAATACCCACGGGTGGCAGTTATCACTTAAGTTCAGATGAACCGTAAGCTCGCTTGCCACCCCCTTACATAAGAAATATACGAATGGGCCAATTCGCTGCCGTTCGCTTGCGAGTCCAAATAGCCGGGCGAGTGTTTAAGGCGTACTTTTATCGCCGCCGCGGAAGTTGGCTGGACTTAATGGCCCCAGCGGTAATGCCAACGTCGGCAGGAGCGCGCGGTATTTGCCGCTCCTCCAAAATTACCATTGCGTCGGGAGCGTTGCCCTCCACAGCGCCGTCCTTGCACGACCCGTTTTGCTTCTTTATAATCGCTTCCCGAGATTTAATAACGAGCCCTCTTGATAGATTCGATCAATCTTTTCGACCGACTTCAAAAAAGAAGGAGGGTGTTAATTGAGTTGTGTTGTTTTTTCTTTGTCACCTCGGAACTCGATCATTTGTAAAGCGACTTTAATAATTCTTCTTGCAATGGTTTCGGTATAGCTCCCACGGGTCCCGTATTAATTTCATTGTTACTGGATCTTGGAATTAAAATACATCAGGGAACTTCTCAAAATCAAATAGAAAAATGTTAAGTACGTGAGATATTCCATGTCCGTGTTTTTTTAGTAAAAATGTACTTGTCAATGATCGCAGTGAAGTGCTATCGAGAGAAGTTTATCATTGGGTACTCCGTCGAGTATAATTTATTTGTTACGATCGGCTAACTCGCGGACCAGTCTACACATTTTATTAAATTACATTGTTATATGATAATTATGATGATGTTTTTTTATCTGTTTAATAGATTCCGCAATTTTTTTAATCATTGTTTGCTAAATGAAACTTTCATCTTCAATAGAAACGTTGAAGCATGTAAGAGTTGATGAAATTTAATAAAATACGTTTGTGTCACCTAAACTTACGACCTTTGCCGTTATTCGGTGCATTACTGTTTATTATGTTTCTGAGTTGCTAAATGTTCTGATAAACGAGTCCCGTCTAACCATAAATCAGGGTATTACGGACGGCGAGCTCATAAATTAATAGACTCACCGAACGACCTCTCGAACATTTTAGCGTACACCGCCTGTTTGTTTTCTCAAAAATAAAAGACCATTCCAGATTCACAAGCAATGGATCGGGTATTCCGGCTGACTCACGCTTTGTTACTTTGCGAGTATTCGCGTAAAGTCGCCGAGGTTAACGATCAAAAGGACCGCGATTTGTATGTCGCTCGACCTTTAATGTGGCTAAGTTTATCGGCTTGCTAAATGTTGAGATTTTATTTTGACATTTAGTCTCTGGTCTTAGATTTACGGGCTGTATTCTACTTCGTTGTTGCGTTGTTTTAAATATATCTATTAAATGAATTTTAGAGTAGCGTCAAATTGTAGTTGATTTTTTTTACACAATTTCCTATTATCCTTGATCAAATAGTAATTTAGCATGTCTTCAAAGTTTTTGAAATGGGCACAACAACAAGGAGGAGAAACTTTATAAACATAAAAAATTCAGGAAAGGAAGCGCTTTTAAAGTGTAATGCCTTCAGAAATACATACAAAGTCCTTACTAACCCTTCTATAGAAACAGTTGATATCTATCAGAGGCGAATAATAAAATGTCTAAAATAATCTCCGAGCCCAAATTTACTTTTAATGTATGGCCCCACAGTATATTAAGTTGGCATCTAAGGTCTTTTGATGCTTTAAAGTTAAGATAACGGCCTTGCTTGCCTTTTAACTCTACCGGGTGAGACAGATATCACTTTAGAATCAATGCAAACAACGTTGCCCCGATCTGGTCCAGTATCAAAACTTGCCAAGTGTTTTGACAGCGTTAAAAGACTATAACCAAACCATACATAGTTAGAGAAAAACCCTTTGAGCGCAGTAGATTTAATTTATATCGGGTCACGCGACCTCCCCTAGTGATAGTTGGTTAGTTGAAGCATTGAGCGTATAAAAGTGCTTAAGCGATTGCGCAAGACATACCGGATTGCCCTACACGTCGACTGAGTTCGCGTCGGACGGCACTTGTGGGGATTCCCGGGAAATGCCCCGCCCTCGTCTACCCCTTGGATCGGTGTGCGATTACACATGCACTCGGCAGCCAGCTTTACAGCACGGCGCCACTTTACGTTGTAGACATTTTTAAGTGAGAAGGTTTTCCAATTTATCACTGATGTATTTCAGTAAGCACAGCTTAATAAGCAGAGTTAATTATAGGCACTGTGAGTCTAACAGGAAAATTTTCAAATATAAAAATATGCATTATAAAAATACAAAGGACGAGTTCACATTTCGTCTATTTTTTTTTGAATTTAATATGTTTTCGTGATTTTTTTTCTCGGCACAATATAGAAGTCACTTTTGGCTGTTTTACGCGTCAACCCACGATTATATTGAATGATAACGCTGTGCAAAGTTGTTTTGAAAGTTAATGTAGTTTTTTATTTACATTTTACTATACTTATTTAGAGATTTCATGGAGTTTAGCTCCTATGCTCGCTTTATGAGAACTCAGCTTTATATTTCAATTTGTTTTTTTTTTTGTATATGCGAATAACATAATAACCCAAAGAAAATGTTTGTTCGTTTTATTTACGTATCGAAATATTTCATGTATGAATTTAATTTTAATTTGGATATAGTATTTCAAGGTTTTTATTTCGTAATATCAACTGCCATACTAATAAAGCGAGTACTTATTACATTAATTGTCAATTAAGTGTTCGAATACAGGTCATTGTTAATAATGAGACGTCAGTCATATGGTGTCGGGCGTCGGCAATTTCTGAACGATAATTGTCAGCTTTCGCAAACATACCTGTTACGACCCGCCTAGCTACCGCTTTACGTAATACAATTAACACAGGTGGAGAATCGCGTCTTATGAGATTGAGATGCCATGTAATGTGGGACAGATTTAATATACATACTTACATAGGTTGTGCGCTGATTAACAGCCCTTATTTCTAATAGATATGCCCTAATTGTTGCTATCTCTAGGCTTCCCCTTGCAATTCATGTATGTTGGAAAATTAATGGACTGAAGGAATTTGTTGTGTCGTTCGACATTACTGAACAATAAAGAGAGAAATATTGAATATCAAAAATGTTTCGTCTACTTCAAGAACTCCGCGAGCTTTAAATTGTCAAAGCTTATGATTTCATTTAGAACAAATTTTTCTTTTTGCAAAATTTGTTTTTTCTTTTAAGGAAAATTTTAAGGAAATTTTAAGGAAACTGTTTTCGAAATAATAAAATTATGTTTCCTTACCGTGACATCATGATGGTCTATGATGGTCTAGATAACGTTGTGTAAAAATGTGTCCCGAATGTTTTAATTGTTATATTTTTATTCATTTATTTTCCCCTCTTACATTTCAATAGCGATTTGATTCATTACTTAACAAGTTTGCGGTGCCGTTGCTATTGCGATTTGTCGGCTTGCTCTCCAGGCAGTAGGTCCTAATGGTAGTTTTTATGATGGTCAATCGATATCGGGCACACAAATATGCTAATGTCAATTTTAGTCACGCGAACCAATCGTTTTCGCCGTCTCGCGGGGAATGATTTACCTTTGCCGTTTCGGATTGCACGAGCGCCACCTGAAATTTACCGCTAATTTCAATCCACGAGATTAATTGCTAAATATCTAACCGTCCGAGTGCGTGATTCATCAGTTGCGTCTCGGTTACGAACCGCTACCCAATGGATGGCGCATGCGATGGGGAGGTGATGACTGCTGATGATGTTCTTCGGTGATGTTGAAGTAGAGGGGCAGATGACACCTTTTTGAATTGATATAGTTCTAGAAGATTTTTAGACAACATAAACTTTATTTTTACAAAAAACAAACAGCACTTCCATCGAAATCAACGATTTATACGTAACAAATTGAAAAATAATATCAAAACATGTAATTACACTTACAAGTTACATACAAGTTAAAAAAGGTATTAATAAAGAAACAAAATATAATAGAAAATGCTAAAATAAGAAACTTTCGGAATCGCATGGCTTAATCGCATGATAAGAAGACTTCCTAATGTTTAAAACGCTTTGTATGATTTCTTGAAACTATAATAAAATCCACGACGTATCTCGATTGTGTTCGTATAACATTCGAGGTCATTCGAAAGGCGCCGAGGCGATACCACTGGCGCCTACTCCTAGTCCTATCGATTCCGCTCTAACGTGTTAAATTAACGGGCTTCGGTTATCTAAATAGGAGATGAGCGATATCACTTTCATCCCGGAGCGGAGCGGGTACTGAACGCCGAATGAAAAACATCCATCTCGCGCGCACCTGTGGGAAGATGAATCGTTAGCGAGGCCTCAGACTCAATCTGGGTCGACGTAATAGGCGATCGGTGTCGTGCAAGCCTTTGGATAGGGTTGTGACTCGCTTCGTCCACGATTGAACGGGTTTTTTTCCTCCAATCCGCCGTGGCTTTAGGGCGAGGTTGTCGCTCGCGCGTCGTCGCAAGTGATGAGCGCGAGGCGGGCTGTTTAACGGTTCCACCGTTACGTGGAAACGCTTAAATCGGTTCCAATTGCGTTTCCGTGAGATGGGGACTGTGCACGGCGAAAAATGTTTTGTTGACAATTATTTCTTTTAGCAGAAAGCGTATCATCCGTCGCGTTTGAAGTTATTCAGCTTGGTTCCATCCCATGTATTCCTATCCACACTCGAAATTTTAACCTATATGTAGAATGTCCTCACCGAAGCATTAAGATTTAGAATTAGAGAAAATCAATACCTAATGAAAATAAAGACTTGACATACACCACCGTAGGTAATGAAGCGATTACACAACAAAACGAAATGATATTTTTTTTAATAGTTTTTATCTCTACAATATTATAATAAAAGTTATAAAACGCAATGAAAAACGCAAATTGCGGTGTAAGGTAGTAATGAATTTCCAGTAGGTAACTTAATTGACTATCGCATCGTCAAGTATCGCGAACCAGTCTACTACTGGTCCGACTCATTTACTGCTCTTTTTTTTCCCGTCCGGCTAATCACCGCCACCATTACGATAGTGTTTCAAAGATGATGGTCAATATAACGTTTGATTGTCATTAATCTCACAATTTAACGCCGAATAGCCACGGCCTCATTATTCATGTTTTAGCCTCGGTTGTGTCTCGCCAAAGAATTCTAAGGTCTCTCTCCACGCGGCGGACGCGCGGCGCTCCATTTGTCGAGGTGATGAACTTTATAGATGTGGCTTTGAACTAATAGAATGCGATTACCGTGCGACGGTTGTCGTACTACGTTATCTGTACAAGGTCGTATTCCTAACCGGCACCGTTAGAATTGAGTGCACTGCTCGTCAACCGCTTTGGTGCGTCAACGCCCTTATCTGTTACTTTCCACGTATTCATATAAAAGCTTCTATCCATTTCAAATGAGATACGTTTTATTGATCTATTTTCGTTTCGTTTCCGATAAATTCGATCTTCGTTCGTTTGAATGGAATACATTGCACTTTCCGATTGGCTTATTTTCGATGTCAAAAATTATAATTACTCTGTCACGGCCTCTCGCTTCTTCATCGAGGTCGCGTTCGTCGTTCGACGGTTTCGCTTGTTGATTTTGGAAACCGCGATGCGAACGTAAACCGGCCAAAGCGTATACCGACTCGGAAATCGTCCACGGTCCGAAACGCGAACGTTCGGCCGAGGTGCTAGCCGATTTACGATTTGTTAATATTTATCGGTGGCACCTTCTAGTTTTCAAACTGCACTCAGTACAGTTCGCCGACATCTGGGCTCCAATCGAAGGACACATACATCCTCAGCTCTATGATAAATACTTTTAAATTGAAGAGTATTTATTTATATAAAAGCATTACAAGTGGCGGCTTAACACCTTGACGCATTTTCCACCAATTAACTGTCAGGGTGGACGAAAAAAAGTGCTAAAAGCTATGCAACAATAAAAAAGGAGTGATTTTAAAGGTTTTATGTATGTGTGTAACATTAAATAAATGTTTTAGAATAATATAATGATAACATGCACTCGAATTTCACATAACACAACCGGGAGTGAAAATTTCCCAAATATCGCCGCTTGTACAGCGTACACCGCTTGGATGGTAATGAAGCGGTAGTTGCCGCTATCGAGCGTTTGCCTAATAGCCCCATCGGCATTGACGCGGCCCCATGCGGCGAATGGAAGGCTGCCGATAGACACACCTTGCCGGCCGATGTGCAATTTGCGCTGTTCTGCATTCCCGTCCCTAACCAGCCGCGCACATTACAACAGAGCCCTCTACTGCTATCGCCTATCTAGTACACTATAGATTTGTGTCGGGCTGATGGACTCTTCGAAATTCTAATTTCAAATATAGCTGTTTAACTATTGCTTCCCTGTTTTAACTGTACTGGCCAAACTATCTTGTTGTAATCTCAATATTAGAAATTTTTCTTGCTAATTGTTTTTTATGAACCTGTTAATTCATAGTACCCGGAGGACCGCTTTGCTCGGTTTGTTTTTTTTGGTAAATCGTGTATTTTGGAAATTACATTTAGATACAAATTATTGAGTAATGAAATATGCATAATATTTTTCGATCTTACCGACGTAATAATAAGAAAATATGAACTGATATTTTTCACAAAAGAAAGAACTTTAAAAAAAAAGGAAAAAAAATAACAAAATAACAAATCAACAAAAAATTAAAAATAAAGAAAGCAATGATCTGGAATCGAAAAAAAAGTAAAAAAATAAATGTGTAAAGGATCGTGACACGAACCACGGCCGTCTGTTTTGGGGCCGCCCGATTACCGACCGAGCTATTTTGACATTTTCTCTTGCGGCGAAATTTACCGTCATATTCGAATTATATTTTTCATTCCCTGAAAACAGGGATAAAAGGGCATTTTCTAAAAATGAAAGCTAGCTAGATCGATTTTTCGCCCCCGAATCTACGCACATACTAAATTTCATGAAAATCGCTGGAGCCGTTTCCGAGATTCCGATTATATATATATACAAGAATTGCTCGTTTAAAGGATAAGAGATTGGATGTTCATACCATTGTCTATCACTTCAAACACATGAAACTTATCGATTTAAAATAATGAGTACCTAACGTGGTTTTCCAAGGCTTTGAGAAATTATCGTTATTCACGTTTGAATTCTGAATCAGGTATGCCAAACATTCCATTTTGTAATGTGGATACTTCAGTTAAATTGAGTATCAGCTGGTGTTTATACCTACGTTTTTATCCCACGTCCGGATGCCGTCTCTATTTTACAACTTGGGTTTATTTGTTAAATAGTAACATTATTTTGTAGGAGTAGTGTAAGAAACCAACCATTCGAACATTCCCAGTCGACAGGATGGGTACCTTCGAATACCAGTGTCTTACAGTAATTAATTATCATTATTTCTGACCTGCTACGTTTTGGGACGCTTATTTTTACTCGTGAATCGTGAACAGTATATGTCCTGCAATTGTAAACACACGGGAGTACTGAGTTTCGTAATCGCCAGACGTTTAATTTACCGTGAGACACCTAAAGGTGGACGTTGATCCGAGCTCACGGTTTAATGTATACGTTGTAGACGTAGGCGTAGTAAATCTAAAGGGCAAAGGCGGGTGGCGTCGTACGGCGACTCGTAAATTCAAATTTGTAGGCGCAGCGGGCGACACCACGCCTGCTCCGTTCATGTATTGGGCATCCATTACCCGCAACGCTCTACAACGCTTTATGGTCATGAATCCCGAATGATACGGTGACCGAACAATACAATGTGCGTTTAAACCGTTGTCTTTGCTTTAGTATGGGATCATCTCTTCCTTTTTTTGGGAAGATTTCAATTGATTCTAAACTTCTTTGAATGGTTTTCTACAGGCACACTGTAATACTTCAGTACTATCTAAACGTTTGTAAAATAGAGTGCTTAATTATCTCATATGTATCTTAATTTCGGTCAGGTGCAATATCGGCGTTATATTTTTTTGTACTTTTGCTTTATTCATATTTCATAAAGCTTCTAATATTCTATTTGTTTCTTTACAGCTTCAGTTAATTATTTATATTAATAATTTACTACAAATCGCAGTTTTACACACCTAGAAATATGATCCCTCAGCCGCGGCCTCGTTAATGGAATCAGACGATACGCCATTTATAAGTGGCAAACGAGGAAATCGTGTCAGTCCTCGGCACCTCGATCCAATTAACATCCACTAACCATTCTTCGGGAGACGGGCCCATCAATAAAGAGATGACTTCACCGTCGTTACGTGTTCTGCATGGACACTAAACAGCAGCAGTCGCCCGAGATCTGTATGCGGCGCGTCGACGTCGAGGTGTTGCTCGCCTCTCATTAAGGAATATTTATGTTGGAGATTCGAGGAAAACACGAAGGCGACCTTTACACGGTGATACTTAAGGTGTGCTGTTGTGATTCCCACAGCCCTAAATCGATCGTCGCCTCTAACGCTATCAATAAGTCAGTGTTCGAGGAGTAATAATTTTCTGATCGTTATCCGTTTGGTGTAACTTTATTGATGACCTAGTAAACTGCAGTGTCTAAACTAAGTCAGAACTTAGAACTCTGATAAATAAACTAAAAAATATATTAAATAAAGATATATTAAAGCTTTCAGGCACTTAACTTATGCATTTCGAGTCAAATAATTCTTCTACACATATTTCTGTCATTAAATCTCTTTAGGCACGAACCAATCTTTCATTTCATTTTGTTATTCGCAAAGTATCTCTTAAATGTTCAACACTTCAAAGTTTCCTTCGCAATTATTGCACATCGCAGCGATGACAGCGCTCTCTAGCGCAGTTCCATGAAGACAGACGTTTGACAAAACAATCGACGTGCGCAATTATCGCGTAGAAACGGCACCTGTTTGTATGAAATCCGCGTGGGAAACGCCTGCCTTGCGCAAGCCGTGCCGAGAGTCGCTGGCTTTCGAAAGAGCTGGCACCGCTGATTAATGTAATAAAACACATGCGTTTGGGATAACCCTATTGTGTCAGCTCTCGTTGTGACATCCCTGTTGTGACAGCTCTGGAAATTATGGTATTCAGTTTCAATTATGACGGCGGTACAGCGCCGTAGGCTTCGATTATGTTTAAACCGATTGTACAAATTGGCTTCACCATCTTGAACGTCAAGGTCCATTAACACAAAGATCCATTTTCACTTTACATTTGAGCGACCCACAGATAATTGTTCCGGATCTGGGTGTTTATTTTCCGAGGAAGATTGAGGTCAGTCAGGTGGCCGGTCTTAAAAAACGTGGCAAATAACAACATTGTTCGCATGTCGTATAAAGATCCGATAAGGGTAGGAGTAAGAAGAAAATTCGTTTTCACTTATTGTTGATGTAAAGACGACTTACATATGATATGTACTTTTACGTAAATAGAGTAGTTTCACATTAGCTTATTGAAAAGTGACTATTAGCTACACAAGAACCGTGTTGAAAGTTTACTTTTTACAAAAGAACGGACATATTGGTAACTCTGTGTGGTTTATATAAACTCAAAAAGCCATTTGTATGCTACCGATTTCCTATGCCATTCGGGATAAAACTTTACTTGCTGAATTGCCAGCAGCCATTGTCAACGGTTGGATAATCCGCCCGTTATATAACTACACGCGATTGAAAAGGATGCACGAACTTCCCACTTTTGCCATCGCAGCATTGTTGAAACGATCGACGGTTTCTTTCAATTTTGCCTAAAGCCGCTTAGCAAACATCGCTAGATGGCCACGTGAACGCTTCCGCGGCGCACGCTGATCTATTGTTCACCGCCGAACAAAGCTCAAGTTAAAAACGTTGCGCCGGCTGTGGTCGATTTAAAACTGGGCGCCTTTTGTACGTGAAATGTTTGTTAGTGGCGGTTCACCTGACGTAGTGATAATCCCCATCGACATTTGCAGCACCCGTAGAGTAGCAGATGCCTTTCCTCTTTTAAATGATGTGGGCCCCGGCTACCTCACACACCAGTCGACACGCACAAGTATAACTATTCTACTACAACGCCGTTTTTCCGTGAGGCCGTGCCAATTCCTCAGACGAGCCTGCCCATTTGTGCAACTGCCACAATTACTGCTCCGAAAGAATATATAGCATATCTTGTGGAGAATAAATTCCAGAAAAGAATAATATAGATAAAGTCAGTTAGTAATCAATGTCGGACATAGTATCACCATATTAACTCAAACTGTCTACTTATTTTTAAAGCCAGTCTTTTGCTCGGCTGTGGTGATTCTCAGGTTACTGACTATTTATTAAACTTCACCATAACTTCCATTCACCCCATTTCATGTGCGTAAAACCATTACTAATTGCGTCCAGTTTCTAAAACACAATAACTTATTTAAAGTCTGCCTTTGACAAACATATTAGTTACCAGTTGATAAAACATTTCTGCAAAGACGAGTAACAGTAAATTTTTACCTGTATCAATAGTTATTGAAGTTTATTACGTTTAAGAATACACTTATGTTGAATCTATTATCATTTGCTAAAATGCTAAGATTTTGTTAGTGGTAATATGTATTGATGACTCCGTGGCGCAGTCGCCAAGATATATTGGCTTTGGCATTGGGGGTCGTGGGTTCGATTCCTACATGGGACAACTATGTGTACAACCCAAAGATGGTTGTTTCGCATCTGGTGGTGTTTGTCCATGTGTAATTTTTGTATGTAAAACGTCCTTGCAACACAGGATAGCGTTATCCTAAAGTAAGGACACTGTTTTAAAAAAAAATGTATAGTGTTGTAAAATGTTGTCTGCAGTAACGCCTTATCTAACCCAAATCTTATTGCATTGCAATATCGAGTATTAGCTATTTATCAAAGCAAACCTTTATCTGTTTATAAAAGCGATTTCTTAAATTATATTCGTTCCACGAATAAGCCCTTTGACACTCTTCACCTCATTGAAAATTGTTCTGAGCGTCGATCGCGGCGTGAACCGACGCGTGACCGAATGCGTCAATCAATCGATACCTCCACGCTTCCTTGTCACGCGATTTGCGTAAGCTCCTAGAAAGCTCGCGCGTTACGAATTTAATTAAGACGTCCTAACAACACAGGATCATGTTATCCTAAAGTAAGGGCAACGCTTAAAAAAAAATTCCCGCTCCCTTGCCACTGTCAATTCATTTTGCAGATTAAATGTTTGCAAGCTTTTAAATCTAGAGCGTTCTAATAACTACTGGTATTGTAGTGTTTGTACATCCATAGAAATGAAGACTTTCTACTAGTCTTCCTTTTAAACAATAATAATAAATTTTTATTTCAGACCATTTTTCGTTAATATCATTAACAACAAGAACTTTATTAAAATTTGTAGAAAAAGTACAATACAATAATAGCGTCGCCGCTGTGGGAACCGAACCCACGTCTTCGGCATTCGCGGCCTGACGCTTTAACCACTAAGCTTAACGGCTGATTGCCACAAAGACGATACATTTCCCATAGAACCCACAGCGACGACGATCTTTTCGTACTTTTTCTACAAATTTTAATGTCGATTCTTAAGTGCAGAGATTAGCACTATAAAAATTTAAATTTCTGACAAGAACTTTATCTGTTTCATTTAATTTAATAAGATATATTTATCTTGAATAAGGATTCAGGAAGGGTCCTTATCTCAATTTAAAAACTTATTATGAATTATCTCCCAAAATCTTAAACTGTTTGGCAAAAGGAAATAACTTTTTTACCGGTCTATATCTTGATTTACCCATATAGTTTCATAAATACACAATGTCTGTTCTCAGTTCACACTGAAAATTATGTTTACGCCACGACCAGTTCTAGATCTAATTTTAATAAATTATTTACGAGTAAAACCAGAACGCCAGGCTCAAGCTAACGATATTATATTCAATAGAATCGACGACAGCCGCATATCATGACGAAACCTTGAAGAGAATTATGCACTATCTCTTCGACATACGGCGGATAGTTGCCAAGCAAATCATTAGATAAACACATTTTTTTTAATTTTCCATTCAATTAATTGGGTAAGCGACAAATGGGACCGGTTTCAGATTGGAGCGATGTGCTTAAATATTGTATCGATGTCGCTCATATCTTAGGAGTCCTACGTATAAAAGATAACAGAATATTCTACTTCTACTTGCGGTGAAATCGTTTGGTTTTTTGAGCGATATTTTCGTTTGTATGTGTATCGAAAATAAATACTGGAAATCAGTTAATCAAAAGTCCAATATAGTTAAGACTTGCATAAGGCCCCCATCAATACGTAACTAATATTACTACAGTCGAAAAAGCAATGACTTTTTCCTATGCCACACTTGTGGTGTATATTCGCGGTATTTCTTTTATTAATAAAGGTATTTAATATTATTATGCAGAAAATTGAGAAGTTTTATAAAACTGTGGCCTTAAATCTTATCCTTTAAACGAGCAATTCTTGTATATACATATAATTGGAATCTCGGAAACGGCTCCAGCGATTTTCATGAAATTTATTACATTCGGGGGCGAAAAATCGATCTGACTAGGTTTCATTTTTAGAAAATGTCGTTTTATCCCAGTTTTCAGAGAATGAAAAACAGTTTTCAGAGAAAAAAAAATTATAATAGCTCGGTCGGTAATCGGGTGGCCGCTAACAAACAGCCACGAAACAGGAGGCCGTGGTTCGTATCACGATTTTTTAAACACTTACTTTTTTTACTTTTTTTCGATTCCAGATCATTGCTTTCTTTATTTTTTATTTTTTGTCGATCCAGATGATTTTGTTATTTTTTCCCTTTTTTTTTAAAGTTCTTTTGTTAAAAATACCAGTTCATTTTTTGTTATTATTACGTCGGTAAGATCGAAAAATATTATGCATATTTCATTACTCAGTAATTTGTATCTAAATGTAATTTTCAAATACACGATTTACTAAAAAAAAAAACAAACCGAGCAAAGCTCGGTGCTCCAGGTACTATAAGTTAAAATAAACAATCCCTTTGGGTTCTAAGTCTTTCCCGCGACTTTAGACATGTGTTTGTAATTGGTGTTGTTAAAGGGGTTTAACCTTTCACCGCTGGTGTGAGAGAATCGCCGTCGCTTCCGAAACCGAAGCGTTCGCCGAATGCGCTCACTGAAAATGTCACATAACGCATTGTTAAATTTGAACCGCTGGCGTTTCCTTTGTTCGCGTTCGGTCGCGGGTATAGTATTAAAACGCCGCCGGTACTCCCCCCGTCCTGTTCGCGCCCGCCGTCCGGCCCAGTGGTGGAACAGGGACGGGGCGACTGTGTCAGCGGGCGCGGGCCGATTCAGGTGAACGGCCGACACACATTCTCTTATCAGCCGCCGATCGGTTGTGACGTCCCGTGGCACCTGCCGCCTGCACTCGGTCTTGTTTTTTTTTTTTGTTCTGCTCCTTTCCGAATACCGGTTTGTATTCCCGTGAAAGTCTATATGGACGGCTGCACTTCTACCCTGCACTGTTTTGCTTCCGTTCGACGTTACCCAGTAGGAAGAACAGCTGGTTGTATAACTTAAAACGTTAACATACCAAGTTGGTATAATTGACCTTTCTCTAAAAACCGTTCTTCATTGAGCCTGTATTCCATTCATGTAAGCAACTTTAGCATGTACATAATAAAAAATACTGCCAAGGTGAATATCTGCTATATAGCTTTTTTGTTCTTCGATCGAACTTTCCATTTGTACAAGACGTTTAAATACCTTCTAAGTAGACTATCGGTTGCTAAATCGTTGTTGTTTTGTCTCGAGAAATATTTGTACATATTTATGTCGAAAGTTGAAAAACTTGCACGATGGCCTACTGATGGAAACTGGTCAGCGACACCCATACACACCTGCAGTACGGACTAGTTCCCGTTCGCCGCTTTCTTGTTGTACCTGTATATGTCATAGTTAATACTTTATCCGCCGAGGGAAAGACTGATGATACACGATACTTCTAAAAGTTCATTGAGTAACAATGGAAAACTCATTTGCAGTCCATTTTAATAGTGATTTATATGAGTCTGCCTCAAATGTATTTGTTTTGCTTTCTCAATATCTATCAAAGCGGCGAAAAAAATAAATTGGATTACTGCACTAGTATATGTCATATCAATGAAGTTACAATAGAGCCTTATTGCTTGAACTAAAAGACGCTCTTGATTTAAGAAGTCGAGGACGCCGAACGCGATGTTCCCATAGTTGTGAGCATGACCTGCATGGGTCCATGGGTAGCCCGAGCCACTTCTGCATCTAACCTTACCTAACGGGCATCTGGAGCTGATCACTGAGCTGATACAATTTCTGTTATCGCGCTACGACTAAAAGCGTTCGAATCCGCCGCACCAACCACTCGCTGAGCGAAACCAGACTCGGTGCCGTAACGAAGACTATCGCTTCACCCGATTATGATTTTGCAACGTGTATTATAATTCAGGCACGCCGCGTTGCCCAATCGACCGCCGACCTATGGGCCGCGCGTATCCTACCCGTTCCGTGTACCCTTTCGCAACTCGCGGGCTCAGATCGCACAGTTCACGCCACAAGACGGGGCCGATGAGTGCATAGAAAGTATTTGTTTGTGAAAATAAGTTAGTTTAATAGACACACTGTCGAAAGCTTATTGGCGCGGCTGGCATTCGGATACGCCTCGCCTGGTTAACACGTCCAGACTGTGGCCAACTGAGCTGAACGAAAAACAAAATATTTTGGACAATTAATCTATTCAACTCACATGTAGTTGAATATGCTTAGATTATTTTTCATTGACGAGAACCGACTTTAATACCTGAATGTTATTCCACCTGATTACTTTCGTAGATGTTAACGAAGTCAGGTCTGTAAAAAATCTAAAATCTAAGCTTAGATAGACATCTTACATTCCTTACATCTAGAATACTCTCTTATGCATTCAAATTAACAGGAAAGTAGACTCGCGGATGATATTGATTTAAGTTTATAACGATTTGTACTTACTTCTTTTCCAACCATGAATAAGTGGTAAGGCAGCATTTTATGGTGTACCTACGCTTATTCTCCATGATGGGTACACACCTTAAAGATATATCGCACGCGATGGGTGCCGGTATGGTAAACACCCATATATCTGTCGTATATGGGAATACTTGCTTCATGCGGAATTGACTGAACGAATCGTTATTTCGAACACCGAGTTGAGCCATATGAATAATAAATTTATCTTTTTACCTGTGTGTGAAGGTGCCAAGTATTGGTTCTCCTAATGTTAATTTATAATCACCACTACTGTCCTGCGTGGAGTATGTAGTTTGCTCTTTTTTGCAACAGCAAATATTGTTGCATGGCTCTAACACGGTAAAACTTTGATAATAATAATAATCAATTTCTTTTTGTACTTTTTCAGGTATGTACTGCTTTATGAGGGCGTTTATTTTGTCTTATGTGAGTATACTATTTTTCATTATACGATATGTCAGTTTCTGTCATTTCTTTTGAAGTTTTACGAAATTCTATGACCATTCTTGTAAAGGAAACCGAAATTAGCTTTTAAATTTTTATAACTAGTTATATTTAAAAAAATAATTACTTATTAAATTCGATAAAACCCCCACAGTTTTACTTAACGTTGAAGCTGTGAATACATTTGATATAAAAGAATAATTTTACCTCTACTAGTTAACATTTCACTATAGTTCCTTTTATTCCGTTAATCCCGTTATTCAACAGTTATTGTTGTTCAAAGTACTCCACGAAGGAGCGGAGTTAACGAAAGGCTTTAATAATTTACTCCGCGATCCTCGTAACGGTCAACGGGAATAAATTCCATTCGGACAATCAACGAATATGATATATATCTTAAATAAATCTCCAACCGCCCGGGTTCTAGAGCTGTGCGTGTAATTTGATGCAAATCCGATTACGTGCCTCCTAGTTTCGTTGTGGGTATGCGTCTTTTCCACTCGAAGACTGTTTATTACAACTGTTCAAAGTTATTTGAAGTTTCTATGTGACGCATTCTTTCTATCATTTTCCGATCCTTGTCATGTCGCGCTATAACTCGTACCTAATGAGGGTCTTAATCGTAAGTTGTTAGTGAAAACTTACCCTTAACTCTGCCCGCTTAACGCTTTGTGAAATTTTGACGCGACGCTCGCATATATTACGACGTTTTGCCGTAGTCGATTCGTTTCGCGATCTTTCATAGTGGACGCACCACCTTCGGGCTACGGCCGTACCGTAGGCGAGAATAGCGCTGGAGAGCTTTATAGCGAGCGCTCGAATGGTATTATTAACGATTACCCTGTCATGGGGCGGCTGAAATAAACGCGTCTGTTCGCAAGCAGAGCGCAGGATTTAGTTGGGGGTAATTTGATTTTCGCAATATTTCATATTCGTTGAAACATCGACGTGGCGTTTCGAGATATCGTAATGATATAATTTATGATGGGGAAACGGGAGACAGATTATCTGAAAAGTGGTATTGACAATAATGTATTAGGACTTAAAAATACCTAAACAAAAATAATACATTCACCCACAGACCTCTTTGCCAGTAGCTTATGACTAAGAAAAGCAAAAATCAAATTTTATTAAAAAAAAAAAAACTTGTGTTTAAGTGTAAAGTCATTATTAACGACATGAATGATCAAAAATTCTTGTTGTAACGCACTGCTCAACTGTCTACGAAAAAAACTATGACCGCCACATCACAAACCACAGTCGCTAGTGTGTATTTTTGTTTTTCAATTAACATACGAAACCCCACCTTTGGGATGCAGTTACCTGATCCACGGCACTGGAGATGTCCTAATGCAACCGAAGACGACCGAGTCACAGACTCGCCCCCTGCCTTGGGCCTAACGGTCACGAGGTCGCGGCCGCGCGGCACCGCTGCGGTCGTCTCTAACGCTTCGGACCCTGCGGTCGACGCGCCGCCGTATCAGGTGTTTGAGTTATCGCGCCGCGGCTGGACCTTCGCGAAACGCGACCACAACCTAAGATTATTAATTGTAGGATTAAAGCCGCCGGTCTAAGATTGTTAATTGAAAAATTAAACCCGATTTGCGGCGCTCCGATTCCGCTGAAGCCGGCACGGGATTAATGAAACGCCTCTCGGGCGCCCTGTATCATCGATGCAATGTACGGTTTGCAGATTAATGTTAAGCCACTTTGTTGTAATTAATGAAAATATAGTTTTAATGGTAGAACGTAGTTTTATTATAGAGATTCAAGAAGAAGAGAGACATAGACAAAAAATGTGTTACATGAATAGTTGTTGAGCACAGATAAAATAGGGTTCAAATTACTAATACAACACTCCCACTTAATTTGGGCCCATTTCTTAAAACAAGTTAATTTTCAAAATGAACATACATTTTCATGGCACATATTAGTTTGACAAACTCTCATTAAAACAATGTATCTATAAATAATGTTTTACAAGTACAAATAAGATAATGATATTATTTTAAGTTCTGAACACCAATTCTTTTCCTAAAATACTGAAACTTATCTTTAGGAAAAGCTTTTGTAAAAACATCAGCAAATTGTTCATTAGTAGATACATAATTCAAATCAATTTGCTTCTCTGCATATTTATCTTTAACAAAATTATATTGCACTTCAATATGCTTACAACGCCTATGGTAATCCACGTTTTTAATTAAACAAATTGCTCTTTGATTGTCTATATTCAAACATATTGAGTTCTGATTAAATTCACCTATTTCCACTAACAGTCCTTTTAACCACATAGCTTCTTTTGCTGCAGAACAAGCTGCCATGAATTCCGCTTCAGTGGTAGACTAAGCAAAACTTTGTTGTGGTTGTGTTGGCCATGTTATGGCAGCTCCATTTTTAATAAACACATAGCCCGTTAAAGACTTTCGCGTGGAAATGTCTTTGGCATAATCAGCATCACAGTAAGCTTCTACTATATTCAGTTGTGATTTTGAATAACACAAACCATAATCTTTGGTTTCTTTTAGGTACTTCAGTATATTCTTAATAAAATTCCAATGAGTATGATCATAACATTCTAGGTATCTGCTTACAAGATTAACTCCATACATAATATCGGGCCTGCTTACCACCGCTAGATGCATCAGTGAGCCTACTGCCTCTCTGTATGGAATCTTCTTATCAGGATCCTCTGCATTCTTCTCCAGTGTAGTGTGGGGATTAACTGGAATATTATTACAGTTAGCATTCTGCATTTTAAATTTGTACAGTAATTTCTTAGTGTATTTTGTTTGATGAATGAAAATACTTTCTCCTGTTCTTTCAATTTGTAGTCCCACAAAGTTCTTTGGATCACACTGTTTTATTTCAAAATTTTTCTTTAATTCCCACATAAGTTTATTGAGTGTATTTTTACATTTTGACATTAGAAGTCCATCATCTACATACAGCAGTAAATACACCTTGTTGTCATTTAGTATTCCTACATACACACACCTGTCTTTATGACAGCTTTCAAAACCAAATTTCTTTAACAAATTGTCAAATTTTGGTTCCAGCACCTTGGTGCTTGCTTAAGACCATAAATTGAACGGTTAAGTTTACAAACCATATTATCAGGAGCTTCCAAGCCCTCTGGTGGCGTCATGTAAATATTTTCTTTTACATCTCCATATAAAAATGCAGTTTTGACATCAAACTGAACAATATGCAAGTTGTGTTGAGCTGCTTCTGAAAGTAGTACACGTACTGAATCATATCTTACAGTTGGGGCATATATCTCCTTGTAGTCAATGCCTTGTTTTTGACTACATCCCTTGGCACACAATCTTGATTTGTAGAGTGGACCAGAAGGCTCGTCTTTTATTTTGAAGACCCATTTGCAGCCAATTATCCTCACTCCTTCAGGCTTTTCAATCAATTGCCATATTTTATTCTTTGCATGTGCCTTTAGCTCCTCTTCTGTGGATTCTTTACATTTTGCAGCATTTGGGTTATCAGAAGATAATGCTTCACTATATGTTAGTAGAACATCCCGTTCTCTTATAATTTCATCGGTACATTTGTAAGTATTTGCTTCTACTTCTTCATTGGCTTGCATCTTGCATAATCTTGCTTTAGATCTTGTTGTAACATTATTTGTTAACTCAGATGAATCTATGGTTACATCAGGCTCATACAGAGACCCATCATTGGAGTAAAAATCTTCACTTAAGTCGTCTTCAGTTGTCTCAGACTGTTCCATCGTGGTTTCCTGTATTTTAGAGCTGTCATCACTTTAACATGATACTGGGACAGACTCTGAAAGTGGTACAACAGAATAATCTCTTTTGACCGAGCTTTCAAGAAAGACCACATCACTGCTTATTACAATGTTTTTCGTTTTAGGGTCTAAGAACCTGTATCCTTTGCTCTGTTCACTATAACCAATGAATAACATTTTGTTTGCCTTTGAGTCCCACTTCTTTGCTTTTTCTTTCGGTACATGCACCAATGCTTCACAACCAAATATTTTCATATTAGTAATGTCTGGCTTTCTCCCACTCCATTTCTCCTATGGTGTTAAAAATGCAAGAGCTTTTGTTGGGCATCGATTTGTGACATAAGCAGCAGTCGACACAGCTTCTGCCCAATAATGTTTCTGAAGTTTAGCATTTATAAGCATGCATCTAGCTCTTTCAAGCAAAGTCCGGTTCATTCTCTCCGCTAGACCATTTTGCTGTGGTGTGTAGGGAGGCGAAGGTTTGGTGAGTGATACCTGACTTCTTTAGAAAAGCTTGAAATTCATTACTCAGATACTCTTTTCCGTTGTCAGTGCGAAGTATCTTTATTCTTGAATCAAGTTGATTTTCAGCTAAGGCTTTAAATTCTTGAAATTTTTGGAAGACTTCTGATTTGTTTTTAATGAAGTAAACAAACACCTTCCTTGTGAAGTCATCAACAAAGGTAACAAAGTGATGAGCTCCCCCAAGACTTGGTACTTCCATTTTTCCGCAGACATCTGAATGAACAAGTCCTAGTTTCGCTTGTGCTCTAGAACCTTCGGAAGGAAACGGGATTCTCGTCTGCTTTCCTTTCAAGCATGAAACACATATCACTTTATCTGCCTTATTTGTTTTGATTCTTGCACTCTCCAATAATTTCTTTAAATCCTCAAAATTCAAATGCGCCATTCTCTGATGCCACAAGAAAGAATCATTCTCTGTTGATGTAGATATAAAAGCTGGAATACTACATGTATTTAACCTGTACATATTGTTTATAACTTTAGCAGCTGCTACTTGCTTATTATCTTTATTTAGAATTATACAGTCTTGACTGTCAAATTGAACTTGACAACCACTATTTATTATCTGACTCACAGAGAGGAGATTAGTAGCCAGCTCAGGAACATATAGAACATTTTGTACCTTAATTGTGTCAATTCTGCCTTGTTTGTTCACAACATTAAGATTAACTTTCCCACATGCTTTAACAACTAATCTCTTGTTATCAGCCACTCTTATTGTGGTAACCGGAGGTGAAATCTCATCATAAAGCAATTCACGGTGCATTGTCATATGCATTGAAGCTCCAGAATCTATATACCAATTACTGTCATTGCTCGTTGTAGCGGAGAACACTGTGACATAGGTAGAATCAGTTTGCTCATTTGATTTTTGTTCCTTCTTCTTGTTGCGACAATTTTTACTGATGTGACCATATTTATTGCACACATAACACCTTGGACCCTTGGACTTGACTTTATTTTGAACTTGTTTGCCAGATTGCAACTGATTAACTTTGCTTTTCACATATAGCGCATTAGACTCAGAGTTTCTTATATCTTGAAGAAGCTTTGTCTTTACTGAACCAGATGTAATTTGCACACCAGAGCTCTCAAGTGCCATTATCATGGGTTGATATATATCCGGAAGACCTGCTAGTAACAGGGTCCCGAGCCACTCATCGTCAACATTGAAACCAATGTTTCTCAATTTATGGGCGGTGCTCATTATTTTGTTAACATAGTCTTCAATATTTAGACAGTTTTCGAGGGTCGTGGTTATCAGATCTCTCAGGAGCCCAACCCGACGTGTCAAACCATTATCATTAAAAGCCTTAGCTAAATTATTCCACACATCTTTAGCTGTTTTAGCTTCTTGGATATGTACATAATTGACAGGATGCACTAGAAGAATTAATTTTGATCTTGCCTTCGTATCAAGCTTTGCATCAACGACTTCATTTTCTTTACGGGTGACACAACTCCATAAATCTTCATGTTCTAGGTAAGTCTGCATAGCAAATCGCCACGTTGCATAATTTTATCTTCCAGTCAGTTTTTCCATCAGTGCCATCGTATTATTTGAAGACATTTTGCGGATGAAGAAGAATTTAAATTGCCAGAACACGTGCGGAGTTTGAGGTTAGGTTGTACTAATTGTACCAGAACTACGAACTTTTATCTTAAAACTTTGGAATTATATTACTTTCACCTTTATAGACAATATTCAGGTGGCCTGGGCCCATAACCTGTTGTAATTAATGAAAATATAGTTTTAATGGTAGAACGTAGTTTTATTATAGAGATTCAAGAAGAAGAGAGACATAGACAAAAAATGTGTTACATGAATAGTTTTTGAGCACAGATAAAATAGGGTTAAAATTACGAATACAACATTAGTAGATACATAATTCAAATCAATTTGCTTCTCTGCATATTTATCTTTAACAAAATTATATTGCACTTCAATATGCTTACAACGCCTATGGTAATCCACGTTTTTAATTAAACAAATTGCTCTTTGATTGTCTATATTCAAACATATTGAGTTCTGATTAAATTCACCTATTTCCACTAACAGTCCTTTTAACCACATAGCTTCTTTTGCTGCAGAACAAGCTGCCATGAATTCCGCTTCAGTGGTAGACTAAGCAAAACTTTGTTGTGGTTGTGTTGGCCATGTTATGGCAGCTCCATTTTTAATAAACACATAGCCCGTTAAAGACTTTCGCGTGGAAATGTCTTTGGCATAATCAGCATCACAGTAAGCTTCTACTATATTCAGTTGTGATTTTGAATAACACA